TAGTTGTTTTTATTATACACACACACTGGACTTAAAAGGCAGATCTATATAAGGTTATAGTATTATCACAATTATTACCATAAAATAGTTGCTGAGTTTCCTTTCTTTCCCAAGCTCAACGTATTAAACAATTAGTCCAGATAATAACAAAATAATTGTTCCAGTTAAATATTTTTGTTGTTTTTTCTCTTTGTTAGATTTTAGAAACTGCTTTGTGTTTTAGAAGAATAGGCAAGTTTCTTTTCACTGTGTTTTGACTGACTAGTAGTATTTGATAGTTTGCTTTTTAAATCGTCTACTTATCAACTAACTGAATTCTATTTATAATTCATCTTTTAAGGAGTTACCTATATTCAAAGTAAAGATATACGAGGATAAAGTGGAGGTTTACACCAAATTTCTTTTTTTGGACTAAAACTATTTTTGTGTTGTCTTATGCTTGTCCTCCATCACTTGTCTCCCTCTACAGGTGAAAAGTAGGTAATTGTACTCATTTTATTGCTTGGAGGTAACTTATTTTCTCAAGAGTCAAAAGTCTTCTGCTTTAGGCTGCAAATCTTTATTTACCTGAGGATCTCTAGGATACGATCAATGAATAGTATCAAAACAGCCCTAAATATAAGATCTGTCTAGTGACAAGGGACACAATAATTTCTAATTTTGTAGTCTATGTACAAAAATCCCAGTGCTATATCTAGTGCTCAGAAATTAATAGCCTTTATTAAATTCATTTAGTTTCTCCAAAACATGTACTTCTATGATGGGTCTGAAGGCTAATCCTAATTTGATGGATGATTTTTATAGAGGTATGAGGTCTCTGGACTTAGAAAAAGGAATCCTGTATTTATTTCTAGTTCTACCTCTAAGTAACATTTTCTCTCACTAGGTCTCGGTATCCTCATCTTTCATATAGAGAAGTTGAAATAAATGTTTTCTGACTTACATTCTTACACAAAAATCCTCAATTTCAAAATATTCGAGGGACTGAAACTATGGAAATTAGAAACACTGAAAACTGGTATCATGAAGACATGACAAAGTTTCATGAGATAACTTTTCTTGAGTTAACGTGTTTAAAAATGAAATGCTCTGAATGACTGTGTCCGAAGAGACACTGCTGCACTCCCCAAACGGTGCAGAAGAGCACAGCGCAGGCGCCACGTCCCGCCCTTCGTCCCGTGCCGCCCTCTCTCGGGGGAACACACCGTCCACCCTTGACCGCCTGCTGGGCGCCTGTGCAGGTGAGCCTGCCTCTCACACAGGCATCCCCAAACGTCCTGCCATTTCTGTTTGAAAACAAAATCATAAATTAAATGTACCCAAACAGCTGATACATCAATGTCCTCCTGCTCTACGCTACTGGTTTTAAATTAACTTTAGGAACAACAAGAACAGAAAAGTCAGGCACGGGACAGAGCTGTAGGAAGAAACAATTGTGAGTTCCTCCTAATGCGCGGAGCTCCTCCCTTCTGCATCTCGGTTCTGCCCCTGAATTCCTGTGACAGCTGAGAGGTGGCTACTCACATCTCCTCCTTCAAAGGAGGAGATAAAGCAAACAAGAAAGACGGGGTTTATACTCAAGCTCCAAATGGCACACACCACCTTTTTGTTAAATCACACTAAGGAACAAAATGGCAATTTAACAGCAAGGCTCTTTTATAAATGTACTTCTATTTGAAAGCTTTCTTTTTAGAAAACTGTTAAATCGTTTTACAGCTATGTATTTACCTCTTGTGCGTGGAAGTAAAAACTGGGGCGTGACTAAACTTCTTTAACCCCGATGAGAATAAAATGAAACTTTCCTGGCTTTAACACGTATCAAATGGAATAACCTCAAAGGGGAAGAAAAGGTATTTTAAGTTCTAGGGGAGAAAGCTTGAGAAAACAGACTGTGACAGATGGAGGTAGTCCAAGTTCTTCACTGTCCTTTCTATAAAAATTGAAGAGTTGTTCTATAGAGAAGTTACGGAGTTATTTTTTTTTCTCCTTCAAAGAGCTATGACTCAAAAGTAAGTTTTTAGGTTTTGAAAATGATCCTCAACAACAGTTTGCCATCCCTGTCATAAAGGCGCCATGTCTTCGGGTGCGGTGAGGGGAAAAGGGACAGTCCTCGGAGAAACAGGAGGCCCCATTCTTGACAGGCACAAAGGAAGTATTTCCATTTTGACCATTTTAGGGGAGGGGCTCCATAATTCATACTCTTATAACCCTGCAATCTTGTTTTTCTCTCATTCTTCCCGTTCTTTCTTTCATCTCTCTGTCCCCTACGTCCGTCATCCCCAGTTCTACATACAGAGTGGGCCCTAGAAACAAAACCAAATAAAAACAAAACCGAATACAGAAGTGATGTATTGAGTGCTTACTCTGTGACGCACTGTGCTAAGAACAGCCTACGTGTGAATTCATTTAATTTAGCAATTACTGGATGACATAGGATCACCATTTTATAAATGAGGAAACGGAGAACGGGTGCGCGAGCTGACCAGGGCCACGCAGCTAACATGCCAGAGGACAGGTCGGTTTCCAGACGGGCAGAGCACTCACACTGCACAAGGCCTGGGGCATCGGCGGTGGTCCTGGGAGTTGCCCTCCAGAGCACCCTGAATCTGTTATACCACAGCCATCTTAACCATATGTTACACGGTTCCTCTAGACCCTAAACCAAATCTCTAAGAAGGCCAAGTTCATCTCAAAGGGTGTCCCACTGACCCTTTGGACACTCTTCTCTGCCCTTCTGGCGACTACAGCAAAGGCACAGCTGGGTTCCAACCACAAGAGGTGTACACTTGGAGGGAGGGCCCAAGTAGTCAGCTGTGGAGGGAGGGAATTCACAAGCACCACCTTTTCCTCGTGTCTCAAGTCATCCATCAAAGTTTCAACCACTTTCATTATCATTATGATGTTTTCAAGAGCCCACGTTTCCAAATGGGCCCAGAGAGTGGAACCTTCTTCTGTTGCCCTCATTCCCCCTCCCCATCCTCTTTGCTTTGCTTGGGGGAGGAAAACGACTTCCATTCTCTAGTCCGTTGATTTCCTGTTGTGCTTTGTGATGCACACAGCTGCACTAAGCAGTTAATGACAGTTAATTAGTTTCCTTTCCTAGATAAGATATTTCTGTAGTCCCATTGTCCCTAGGCCCCAGGCCAGGAGCTTGTGGGTACAGATTGCGCCATATTAGCCTTAATTCCCAGATTTTAGTAACTCACAGTTCCCCCTGGTATTGCTCCTGTGCCTGAACACTTTGTAAACATTTCTGGATCTTGCATGGGGTGTCTCACATGTGTTCAAGGCTAAGTCTGTGCCCTTTGAGTGCAGCTCTTCTCCCTTTAATCAGTGCCAGGACTTGCCAGGTGGGGGGACAGCTGAGCTGACCACTGAGCACCCACCACCTTTTGCTGAACACCAGCCTCCGGGGAATGGTACCCGCAGCTGCTCCTCTGGGAGGATGCTTCAGTGGAGCTGGCTCATGTGTGACCTCAAGCTACAAGAGGTTTCAGGGACCAAAATAGCACTGCATTCTGCTTATACCACAATGTTGGAGTCTTGCTTATTCCAAAAATAGCAAGGGTTGGGGGGAGGGTTTGCCCTTCTTCACAGAGGTCAGAACTAGTGCCCAGAGCAGGGCTGGGGACAAAGTTCCATGTGGTGTCCCTCACTAGAGGCCACTGGCACCCACTCACACAAGTCGGCTTCCTCACCCCTTACCATAGTCAGATAAGGGATGGAAACAAAGAGCCTTGTTCTACACCCCCATCTTCGTTTTGGCTAATTGACATTTAATTTGGGTCTTTGAGAAAGAAGTTTGTTACTCAAAGAACTTCAATGTGCAGGAATGTCAGTTATTGTGCATCTCTTGATCACAGTCAAGAAGAACACTGATGAACCAGGCAGAAGCTAGGAAATGACGGCTGAAAATCATCACCAATAAAGTCTTGAAAGATAAACATGAAAAAGAGAATCAAGAACTTCATAGTCACTGAACACAAGTCTCCTTTGAAAAGACATTCAGGAAAAAACAACTTTAACCGCTGCTCCAGAATCGACTCTGACGTAATAGTCACTAACAGGGCGGGTTGGAAGCGCAGCCCAACGCTCGCTATAACTTAACAAGCTCCCCCTTGGCATCCTAGGAGTTGGAGTCCAAGGCAGATGCTCGAATCAAATTAAGTACTGGTCTATTTTGGATAATATGTTAATTTTCCTCTGGTAACAGCTTCAGAAAACATGGGTTTTCTTTTTCCAGGCAATTATTTTAATGAGTCAATTGAGGTTTCAAGAAATGATTAAATGAATTCAATTTGATTTCAGGTTCAGTAAAGTGAGACCATTTGTTCTGTTTTTGGTTCAGTTGACGTTAAGTGCCATGTCTAAAATAAACTAATAGGAATTGGGATAATTTTATTTTCTTGCCCTTTACGTTCCTCACCATTTCTTCCACTTTTCTTCCCCAACATCTGTTCATTTGATCCCACTGAACTCTCCTGTATTGTATAATTACTTCCTCTCTTTCCTTCCAGGCAGAATTTATTCTCAACTCTCTGGGTCCAAATCAAGATTATTGGAAGGGTATTCCTTCCTACACACAACTGGGATAATGATTACCCAAGAAGGTGCCTTTTACTTACACGTTCACTTTCATTAAACCAAGCTGCCATATATTAACATCATGCTGATAACATAAACCTAGAAGCAACATGGTCAACATTTTGAAGGTAATGCTATCTCTTGAAATACAAATGACCAGAGCAATGCAAAACTTAGGACAAACACACATTTAAACAGTTAAGAAAATAATGTGTTAGTAAAGATTTTCCAAGCAATAGTTTAAATGGACAACTTGTGAGACCAATGAAAGAGAAATGATAATATAGAGAAGAAAGGATTACTTTCTTTAAAATTTTAAAACTGCAGTATAAAATTGGTGTTAGTATTATGCTGAATCTTGAAAGATATGGTTTCTCTCTACACATGAGAATAATAAACTCCCAGATCTTTCTTACCTGTTATGGTGGCTTTGTTGATGGATGGCTGATTGCACATGGGTGATCTTCTGACAAAGAGAGAAAAACACAAAGCCATAAATAGGGGATGCTTATTGATTTTAGGACTCTCTGAATCATTTCAGATATGCCATTTTAATTCAAAAGATTATTTTTTAAGTTAGGACATGCAAATAAAGGTTTCTTTTCAGACTAGCCATTCAAGTCATTCAAGGGGTAGCCTAGGCACCTCTTACACAACAGCTCAGGTCACACATGTCAAAATAGAAAACTGTTAAATCTCACAGCTACAGACTTTGGGGCAAATAAAGCTGATATAACTATCACAGGGACATGACAGAAGAGGAAGCTCTTATTGACTGACTATATTCAATTAAGTCAGGGCTTACAGAATGAACACAGGCTTTCTGAATTTGAAAAAATAGTCAATCTACAATTAGTTTCCCTTGTATAGGGTTAAAAAGCTTTTATTTTTGGCATAAATTTTTATGATTGCCTATACATTACCAGTGGTAAATGACTCCTTTTAAACTATAATTAGTGAAGCTATTTACATTTTTTTCTTTCTATTTTCTCATATTGAGAAACATCTCTGATAATTGTTAGAGAGCAATATTAATGACTTATGTGAATAGATGCTATTGAAACTTAAATAGATTCTGTCTTGTATTCCCTAAGTTTTCCCAAGTCCCACAAGATAACCCCTTGATGTAAAATACCATGCTATATGATTAACTTGTATCCCCTACAGAGCCCAATACCATGTACCCAGTACTCAATCAGGGCTCAATAAGTTATGTGGAAAAGATTATCGTTTATGAAGTATCCATTAAAACTTTTTGAAATATAACTTCATAAAGTTGTTACATAAAATTAGAAGCTTTAAAATATAGTGATCTTTAAAATAAAAAAATAGATACAGCCCTGACTGGTGTGGCTCAGTTTGTTGGGTGTCATCCTGAAAAAAACAAAAGGTAGCCAGTTTGATGCCCAGTCAGGGTACGGGCCTGGGTTATGGGTTCAGTCCCTGTTGGGGCACACATGAGAGGCAGCCAATTGATGCTCCTCTCTCACACTGATGTTTCTTTCCCTCTCTTTCTCCCTCCCTTCCCCTCTCTCTAAACATACATATATACATACATATACATATATACATACAATATAAAAAATAGATAGATACAAGAATAGATAGATACAAGAAAAAATAGATACAAGTCTGAAAAAATGCTTTATTTTAAATTTCTGTTAGTAGCCAAGGCTTAGTAAGCACTTAATGTGTGCCAGACACTATATTAAATGAGCACTTTGAATGAATTACCTCATTGTGAGGTCAACAAACGTTAAGGCAAATAGCCTCATTGTTCCCACTTCGCCAAGAAGGAAAACAAAGCTTTGGGAAGTTGAATGACTTGCTCAAAGGAAGAGCCCAGACTTGAACTAAAGTAATGTGATTCCGGAGGCTGTGCGCTGCCCTGTGGCCTTGTTTTTAGGATGCTTCTGTGGAAGCTGGATGAACAGCACTCATCAGTGCAGATGTTCAAATCTGCCTTCCTGTGATAACAAGCTTCTCAGAAGGGCTGGGAGATAGCACGGGAATAGCAGTCTCGTACTTTCAGGATGCTCCCTGCCTTGGTCCTGCACAGTGTCTGGCTCTGCTCTGACGTTTACTGATGTCAGTTTGGGACTGAAATTTGGTGTTTCATTGAAGAGGCACCAACATTTACTTCTGAATTATTTTAGTTTTTATTATAAAATAAAAGGAGGTAATTTAAAACTTGATTAATGCTTAATAAAACAAAAAATAAAGTTTTAAACTGCTACTCTGAAGTAGTTCTGGTCTATATACTGTTATCTTCTCACTGAAAGATTTATTATTCAAATAAATTATATATTGGTTACTCCTTTTTAGTTCTTGTTCTGTGCAAATTTAGAAAGCATTGGTTTTCACTGGGAAAGGTATCAAATGAATATTTTGAAACTTTTCCATGGTTTTGGAAAACTAAATCATTGACTCGTTACTTGTTATCTTCTCTTAATATCAATCCTATAAATGACACTTGAGAACTTGATATTTTGACAAGTAACAGCAAGCAGAAAATGTTAATTGTTTGATCCATGGTTACAGGGATAAATCAATGAAAAAGGAGTGGGAACTCACTTCTGGAACAAAAACTCTCAAGGGCAAGAAAGAGCACGGTGATAGGAACCAGCCATGGGTTCATAAAAGCCAACAGTGCGCACTTGAGCATCCACAGGGGACAGGGTTTCATTCTTTCTAGATGCCTTTCTCGTAGCGAACAGAAAGGTGGACTGTGCAAGGTAGCACATGCCTTCCCCGGAATTCCAGGGTGAGCTTGGAGGTATTTCATTGGCTCTGTGAGTGCCCATTAGGGCAATTCTGATTTGCTTAGGGTCATCATGGGAGGAACTGCAGTTATATTCAGTTTGCTATTACTGAATGGAACAGAGCTTAGCGGCATGTAGTGAACTCTACTACTCTGATGCCTGAGGAGGCTAATTTGGTTTGAATCAGTAAAGAAAATACAAATCTGCATTGACCAAAAGGGAGACCACAAAGACCTTTACTTTGAATCTATCAGATAATATTGTTTGGTTAGCTGTCATCCTGAACTTTATATTGTAAGTCAAGATCAGGCATAAATAATGATTTTCTATCTTCCTCTACCTGCTCTTGTCCACTGTAACCTGTTTTGTCACTGTAAATCAGTTGAAAACTCCTGTCTTGCATAGAATGGAACTCAGGTCTTTCACAGAATGGAACAGAAGGCCGGTCTGCTGCCCTCATACCTGTCTGATCAACTGTTAGGCTCCCATAGATTTAGATGTTAGGTTCCCAAGTGACCATGTCTGAAGGAAGCACAAAAGGAGTTATAAAAGTTTCTTGCTTGCCATTTAAAGCAATACCTCTATTTCCTGGATAAAATTTAAAACTAAAAAAGGTTGGGAGTGATACCAGTAATTCCATTCCTCCTGCAGGGCTCAGACTTTCCAAAGAGGAGGTGATTGAGCTACCAAATGCCCAAAGCCCAAGGGTCCCTTGGAGTCAGCATGATGGTGTGTGGCCACGGGGCACTGGGGTCACGTGCTAATGAGCAAACACCAGGAGCACAGCTTCTGGTCCCGTGTACTCATCACTGCGTCAGCCTTCCAGGCAACAGGTCCTGACAGAGTGATTTCTCTGTGTTGAGCATTATTCCAGGCACAGGGAATACAAACGTGAACCAGAAAAAACCAAGACCTCCTAACTGGGGACCTGCATTCTTAAGAACACCCAGTGTAGACAAGCAAATAGGTAACTTGAGCATAGAGACATAGGTGCTAAAATAGGGGTTAGGGACAGGACAGGGCCAGACAGAGGTGGAAAGGCAAACAACCCCGTTCGGGACCTGTGCGAGTGTGTGTATGATGCTCCCAAAGAAACAGTAATTGAGCTGTGAATGACTGTTAGCTCAGTGGATCAGGAGGGGGAGAAGAAAGTAAGAAAAAAAATGTTCAGGCTGAGGGAACAGGACTGCGAAAGTTCATTACCTAGAAAACATGACAAGCAATGGAAGTTTCTGGGTTCCGTGCAATTATTTGGAGTGACGCATTTATACCGATTTCTAAGGAAACTTTTTATACCACAGGGAGCAGGTGCACAATAGCCACAGGTTTTCTATAAATCATGGCCAATATGGGTTTGGGAGGTCAATTATACTATTATGAGATGAAAAGTTTAGTTTTGTTCTTTAAGAAGTAGTAAGTACTGTGAAGTTTTATATACTTAGATAAGTTATAATTCCAAATAAATTTCTACTCATTATAAAATGCCCTAATATTGATTTAAAGAAATGGTTCTTTCTTCTGAAGATTGATTGGAGTTGATATTTTAATAATAATACTTCATTATTAATAATAGATTGTCAAAATAATGAGCATTTGAATAGCTAATCAGTTTTCCAATTAATCTTAGAAAATTAATTTTCTCTTTTTAGATATTTCACAGTTATTAGAGCTCCCCAAACATAATCATTTCCTATCTCAGCTTTCCTTCTTTCAAATGCTTCCTCTGTTATTACATAAATTACAGTTTTATTAATTGCTCCATGATGCTGCTGGTCTGAGGGTTGGTAACAGCAGAAAAATCGAAGACATTTGCTATGGCGTGGTGCTTCCCTAGCTATCACTGACTCAGAATTAAGAGGATGACTTTGGATTGACATTAGGCTTGATGACATTATTTGTCCATGGTCAATTTATGAAGTAAGCCAAAACTATAAAGTTACCCTGAGTGTAAATAACTGGGCAGAGGAGTGATTATGCCAGGTGATTTCTGACAGATGGAATCACCATATTTATTTGTCATACTGCTTCAGGTCTCATATTAGAACCATCACTACAAAGTATTTATAGAAAATTAACAGGACATCATATGACTTAGTGTAAATGGTCAGACATCAAGGCAAGGACTCAGAGAAATCTAATATATTGCCTTGAGTTCAATCAAATTGAGAAAACACTGTATAAAAATGCAGCATGGAGGAGGGGAAACAAAGGATAACTTACTTGCTAGGTGCTCGATCTTGCAAATTAGTTAATGCAGCAAAGTTGTTTCGTACAGTTCGCAGGCTGGCCAAGACCTAGGACAAAAAAAGATTTTAAACTTTTTAAAGTAGGGTCATCTTGAATGCAATTTAACATGGTTTGGTGATTTTAAAAAATGATTTGTTAAATGAAAACTTGATATTGCTTGCAACTAAGTTTCATATACCACTGAAGAATCTCCCAGTATTTAATGAAGTTTACATGCGTCTGTTTGAAATTTGGAGAGATCAGACTGCAAGAATTTTCCAGACATTTCCCCTCATGGTTGGTGAATTTGGTGACACTAGCAGCAGTTTCTACAGCATTCCTAGATTACTCAGCCACCAAAACAATATCCCAAGCAATATACATATAGCACTGTCCAATTTTTAGGTAAATTTGAAACAGTGTAATACAAAATATTACTCGACTCTCACTTTAGAAGTAAAATTTAAAACAAATTACCATCAAATTCTCTTCAAAAATTCACCAAGAATGTCATAATTTCAAAGTCAACAAGTAAATTTTAAATTGTTTTCTCACCTCAGCTACATGGTTAGTGTAGCTAGTGAATGGAAATTATTTTCTCTGTTAAGGTTATTAATAATGATTATAAGGTTCCCGGGGAGCCATTTTTCACATCAAATCGGACCACCCTGTATGTGCACAGTGTCTGGCCCACCGAAAATACTCAACAACAATGCTCAACAACAATAAATGGCACACCATATCCACATACACGAGGCAGGACCAACAGGCCCCACTATCTCTGACCGTCCTTCCTTCCTCTAATTCAGTGAAACCAGAAAGTGACAAAAGAATTGGAAATGAGACTAGAAGAGACACTTTACCCTCCTGACATTCTCCCTAGGGCGAAACCGATATTAGGTGAGATTACAGGTAATCTGGGTGACGACTCGAACGGTAAAGGATCTAAAACACAGATTTCAAATGTCCCATTGGGTACTATATAACAACTTAAGACTGCCTGGCCTGTGATGTTTGCAGCGCGTGAACTTAGACAAGTTACATAATTTCTCTGTAAACTGGTGTCCTCATCTATAAACTGGGATAGTAATATCTACCTCAAAGGGCTGCTGTGAAGATGATATGCAATGACAAGTGAGGTGCCAAGAACATGCCTGGCAAATAGAAAGCACTCATTGTGGCGACATTCCATTTGATTAACGATTTGATATGTGCCTAGGCAATTTACACATGCCAATCATTGATAATAGAAGGGCGCCAAATTTATAATTGCTGCCAGGTTTCCAGAACTGTGTTCAGATTTTTTTCATCTGGCACTGACTTAAACAAAAGTCAGTCTTAATATTTGCTAAGGAATTGTTTTTAAAAATGAGATATTTTTGAAATTGGCATTACTTCTTGTAGGTTACTTTCCCCCGAAGTAGTTAATGGTGTTTCCTAAGGTGCCAACCATGATTAACTCAGTCACTGGAAAAACCTGGCTCATTATCACGTATAAACAACTCGCAGTGCTGAAAGGTCATGCTGCCTATGACGGTGGATTCAAAGAGCCAACTGCTGACCTCAGACCACGATGTCTTTCATTAGGCATGAGATCTTGAATGATGCAGAAATACATCTAATAAATAATCCACTGTCATTAAATCATGCAGGCTTAATTTATGCTTTAAGAATTAAATGTCAAGTACAATAATAAAGCATTTAAAATAAGATTATTGCACTCCTAAATTGATCCTCTTTCGAAACAAAATTTCAAGCTCAGAATTCTTAGGATTTTATTCTAATAAATTATAGTAAGTGCACTACATTTGACAGCTAGGTAAATAGAAATTGTACTGCAGGCAACTCACGTTCTGTGCTCATTTGAAAGAAAACATTAGTTCATAAAAGATATACTACACTTAGTTTTCTGTGAAAAGGTTTATGACTCTTAAAATAAAGATGAAATTACATTGTTACAGTTTAAAATTTAATGTATTTATTTTTGCATAATATATCTTCACGTGATGCAGAGTTAAGCAGAAAAGGGCAAAAAGCAAAATGTCTCCCCTCAATAACAAAGACAAAATTCAAAGTTATTTTTTATTTCTGAGAGGAGGCAGAAAGATGAGATTGGGGAGAAATATACCGGGGCATTTAAATATTGCTACTGTTCTATTTCTTAAACTGTTGATTTTTTGGGAATTGTTCTCTGTATTTTAGATAATCACTAGATATATTCCCTCATATGTATAATACATTTCAAAATAAAAAGTGAGAAAAGAAATCCCCCTTCAGCCCTTCTTCAGCCATCAGCTGCCTGTCCCCTGACTAACTGACTTTTAGGTTGTCTCCTAAATTTTGCCTTTGCAAACGCTGCTGCAGTAAATAACCTTGTAGATATATCATTCCCTATGTGTACAAGTATTTAATTACTGTTTCTGTGGTGGGATAAATAATATTTATAAATTTTATATTAAGGATTGACTCTTCTGCACTATGACATGTAAGATACTGGCGGAAGTGTAAATAAAAGCTCAGACAATCCTTATAAGGGGGCATTGCCCTAGGCCCAGTTGATTGACCTGAGATGTTTCCATTGCAAACACACCGTGTTAGTCTTTTATGCTCTCGTTTGCATTGCGAGACTGAAGAGTGAGGCCTATGCTATTGCAGGCTGTGGGGGAAAGCTGGAAGCAGTTTTACTCAAGCCCCTGGGTTAAAGCCCAGTTAGTCTTCGGCAGGTCTCATTCTCCTTGAACTGTTGTCAGAGCTTTCATGCTTCTGCAATTTTCTTCACTCTTTAATGCTTGCTAACAAAAAATGTCCCTAAAGTTTCCTCTCACACAGCTGAATGGCTAAAAAAATTAAGGTCATTTCTTTCTCTTCCGTCCCTCTAACCAAGTGTATTCAGTCAAGGTAAAAAATATATGGGGGATGATAAGAAATATATACACTTTGGGGAAGAAATTATAATAGTGTTATGAAAAACTTACAAAAAGATGGCTCATATACTACCCCATTAAATGGTTTAAATGTTATTTATGCACACTAATCTCAGGTTTTCTTGGGTACTTCTGAACATTTACTAACCAATAAGATTTACTGAAAACAGCAGGAAAATGTGGTCTTCATTGAACAGCTAAACAATGGAACATAATAGCCTAAAAGAAATATATGCTTGTATAGTAATAATTTCTTGAAAATATTTAAAGAGATTTCTATCTTTACAAAAAAAACCAATGCAGCAATAATGTTGTTTTAAAAAATCCCTGCCTAAAAAAAATAACGAAGAAATGATTTTGAGGATTGTGTTTTTCATGCCAATACTTTTTAAACCACTAGATGGCACTAAAACACACACCATGTGTTTCCATGGCCTTGGGGGAATTGGGAGGGAGAAAAGAATTCCTTGCCTTTGTTTTACCTCCAGAAAAAACTGGAGTCAAATTACGGTTATTTACAAGACAGAAAGGTCACTTTGATAGAAAATAAAACCTTTTCCCAAATTACGTTTTGGTTAAACCACATGAAATGAAATGCTGTTTTTGTCTGTCAACAAGTATTGATTTCTAGATTCCTAGAAGATGGCTAGCTGTGATTTTTTTTTTTTAAATGAAGGTTAAAGAAAAACTAACAAATAGGAACACCTGAAATGTGAAGATTATCTTTTTTATTGCCTGGCTGAGGGGCTGTGATGAGGCCACACAATGGCTGCTGCTTGGTGAAACGGGGAAGGGACATTATGGGACATTAAAAAAATGACAATATTCTGTGACCAATGTCCTATCTATAGTGTTGACAACTACTACGTTTTCAATAAAATTATCTCAGTCGCTGTATTTTGGTTATAGAAAAGGTAAAATACATCTTGTTCCTACCCTGGATTTTCAAATCAGGCATATCTGCTTTGCCTCAATGACGTGAGGGCCTATCCAGGGATCCAAGAGCACACTTGGGTATTTTCTGTCTTTTCCTTGATCAAAGATACTACTTCTTCTAACACTCCATACTCCCACATGACCGTTCTCGTTGACTTAGAATTTTACGAGGTAGCCATAACAAATAATGGCCCTGGTGGGTCCTGAGGCAGCTGGCTGTAAAGCCGTGGTTCCCACCCTTCATCTGTGTTGCATCTCCTTGGTGTTCCTTGATCCCCTGGAAGAACTCTGGCGAAACTGTTAACCGCATTCTTGGGAGGAAAAGGCCAGTAGCCAAGTGGCGCGACATGGCATGGCATGGGAATTCCTACCAACACCTAGCCTTCAAGCCGAAGGAAATTCCCACACCAAAAGATTTTGGCATAAACATAGGAGAATATTTCAAAATGGAAATAAATCAAGTGTTTAAAGTTGTCACTTTTTCTGAACATCAAGAGGATTCTGAACTTATGGAAGAAAACATAAGAAATTGAGAGTGGAAGAGAGCCTAGGTTAAACATACCAGCAAGAATTTCTAACACTGATAGGGTTGTGGACATGGGAAGAGAATATGGAGGCCTACTGTACAATCTTTACTGAAGATTATGTTCATCTAAGATGATTTAGGTTTTCAGCCCTGTTCATGAAAGTGGAATATCCTTGCATGATGTCCTAAATTCTCTTTTAATTTAGGAGTTTATTTTCTTGTGTCACAGGAACCATGACTGGAGGAAAAAATGGAGGGCCTTTTCATGACCTGAAGAGGCACTCAGAAATAATAGAAATGAGTTCTCAAGAAGAGGCAGAGGATGAAATGGGTTTGGGAGAAGACCTGTGTTCACTTCAGACAGTGGGGGGCTCATTTTTAAGAATTTTGGTAAAGAAAATATGCACTGGAAAAATAATCCTAAAGGGATAGGAAGTAAAATACCAATACTAGTTGTTGTGTTGTTTGGAATTATGGGAAATTTTCTTTTATTCTTTTTGTTTATATTTCTTTTCTAAACTTTTTATGCAAAAAAAAAAAAAAAATATTTTGAAGGCAGTGTGACTTTTCCGCCAGAAGAACTTACTGTGAAATTCTAACCCCAGAGCATGCAGGGAAAAGGGGAGAATTTTTTTGGCCTATTCGAACATGTCCCTAAGTGACTTGTCTTCTGTCCATTGGCAAAAGCAACTACAGTATATTAGGCTAAATAGTGATGGTGTCACCTCAAGTGACAAACACCTTATAGTTTAAGCATTATAATATTTAGCATTCAAAGATGACTATTCATCTTGTATTGAAAATTTGAGGAGTTATTGGTTAGGTCAAAAAAATAAGGTAGTTGTGCCCAACAGGGCAAAAGAGAAGGCAGCTGGTTAACTGGGCCTTCTTTCTTATCTGGTTTCCCATGTTCTATCGGCGGTGAAATTATGCAGGGTTTAACATGTGTGTGTTTTTTTTTTTTTAATTATTCTATTAAGGCTTTCTAGACCACATAGCTTAGAAAAATGCAATTTGTGAAAACTGTGATGAAGCTACTTCAAAAGAATCTGCAGCCTCTGGAGCAATGACCACCTTCTTCAAAGTGTTATGAGTCAGTAAGCTAATCATAAGCAAACTCTTCTGAACACACTCTGGGATTATTTTCAGGCATCAGACAAGCCTACATATTACACAGAGTTGGCTTATATTTTAAATTCTAATTTCTGAGGGTATTAAGCATATATATTAACAGTTTACGAACACAGACTGAATGATCTTTTACACATATACAAGTGTATATATTCCTCAGTTTACTGAACTTCTATTAGGTTTTTAGAGATTATAGGTACACTATAGAAAATGTCTGATTGTGTAAAAGAGTAGATTTCTTTAGAATTTAAGAGCATTGATGATAAGAACTGAGTCAAATTCATTAATCTACTTATTAGAAATTAATAAATACTACTTGAAGAAGGTATTATATACAGAATAGTTTTTTCATTTTTTACTATAAATTTAAATATGTTTTTCTTATGACAATACCTGGAGATTTTAGTTAGAAGCAAGAATCGCTATCTGGATAAACTCAGGTTGGAATGATTACTTCTACATTTGGTGATGGTTATTTATATTACTTTGCCTGATTTTATCTTTTCACTCAGGTCTCAGCTCTAGGAAATAAAAATTATGGGTTCTCACTAGCCAGCAATTAAAAATCCTTAGCTTTAAATGATTTTGTTGTCAAAAAATAAGATTATACCATGTTAGTATAATTGTTTTTGAATACAGAAATATAGTTACTAGAAATAATTTATGATCTCTAGCAAAACCTTAAGCAGTCAAGACATGAACCTTCTGAAAGGCATAGTGGTTTTATTCTTCTTTTAATTGCTTTCATTAATAAAAAATCACTATTATACAGTTGTGTTATTTATGGATTTATTAAATGTTTTATCTAAATTATAGCAATTTAAAAATTTCAGGAAACTTGAAAAAGTGGAAGAACCATACATAATTCTACTATCCAAACATTGCCATTATGCATTTTAAAAAAACAATACCTATTATGACATTTTAGAAATGAAAGCGCCCTTACCAATAACACTAGAAATTGTGCTGAGTATTTTACAAGCCTGGTGTTATTTCAATCTCTTAACAGTCTTATGAGGTGAGTACTCTGGGAACTGTCATTTAGGAGGAAACCAGGTTTGGGAAAATTCAGTGACTAGGCCAAGCCCATTCATTTAGCGAGAGGAGGAGATGGGGTTGAACTATGGTCTGCCTGTATACAGCCTAGCCCTCCAATTTTACCAATTGGAAAAAGAAGTCTTAGAGAAGTTAAATTAGTTGCCCAATGCACTAGAACTAGTTAGACATGATTACTTTTTTAAAATAACCTCTCTGCATCACTCATATTCCAATATTTAACATTTCTTATAAACAGCCAATGTTGGCTTTAAACGTGTTTCATACCTCAAATCAGTTTTATCCCATTCTGTCCTAAGTCTGTCTACACCAGAAGCTCTCAACTTTCCTGGAAAAATACTGGGGACTTTGCTGGGGCGGGGGGGAGAGGGGTATAAGGGGACTAAATGGTAATGAAAAAAATATATAATAAAGATTATATAAAATAAAAAAATAAAAAATAGAACCACAGGCATGGAAATATGGAGCAGACTGAAAGTGACCAGAGGGGAAGGTGGAGGGAGACAATGGTGGAAAGAAGGGGAAGGGACTAGACAAAGAACATGTATGAATGACCCATGGGCATGGACAACAGAGTGGGAACTGACTGTGGGAGCGGGGGCGGGGTAGGCAGAGGGAGGCAAAGGGGGAAAAATTGAGACAACTGTAATAGAATAACAATAAAAATGATTTTAAATAAATTTAAAAAGGGAAAAAAAAGTGCTTGGATCTGATCCCCAGACTTTTGAATTCAATTGATTGGGGTGCACCCTAGAATAAAAGCTTTCTAGGTGATTCTAATGCATAGCTAGGGTTGAGGAGCACTGGTATAAATAAAAAATATCTGGTAATATATTTTATATATATTTCAAAATGCTTTAGATTATTTTATCAGCTTCTAGCATTTATGTCCTGTGGCTAAAGTATTTTCATGATGTGTATACCAAAAAGGAACAAATAAACCCAAATACATCATTCAGTTAAATCTTTGTACAAATGACATGTAAAAAGAAAAAGGAGTATACTTACCTGGCAGGGGAGATACCATGATCACAAAAAGAAGGAGTTAAATAAAGCAACAGGTTGAATTGGAATATTCAATGTCAAGCACTAATCGTGTACCTAATTATACTAAAGGTAATTTAATCCGCTATATCGCCATCTGCTCCTAGTGCTGTATCAGTAAAGAAAGTATGGTCCCACTTAAATATGTCACTTAGGTAATTTGTAATTTGAAGCAAAAAAAATTCTTCAGGTCTATGAGTTTATAGGAAACAAACCAATATGGTCAAAGTCACATTCTCTAGAATAGTCTTTGAATTATATGAATGAAGCACAGAATTTGTATTTGTAGTTGTTTTTGATTGAAAATTAATTTAAGAACCAGAACAAATCTCCCAAATTAAATTGTCAAATGAGAAACCTGCCCATTCCCCAAACTGTGCTTACCTGAGCAAATGGAGTCACAATCAAGTCATCTCCGTGTCTGAAAAATAAACCAAATCTGGTGTTAGAAGTTACTGATAACTCTATGACCACTTTTGATTAATATTAAATGGTAAGTTCCACTTTTATAAATTCCCATAGAGAATTACAGTAATTCCATCCTTATTTTTCAGCCCATGTTCTTCCTAGCCACAGGGGTGAAAATGTCTTCTGGGATGTTAACCATTGTCCAGTTTCCTGGGTAAAAAGAGGGACTTCTTGATCATCAGCCAAGGTCACTGTTGCTTACTAAGCACACAGGATATGCAATAATAGAAATGGAGTTCCCGCAGTGGGGCCTGAATTTTACCCTTAGCCTCTTACTGTAGTTATCAGGAAAGGGTGCTGTGGAAGGAGCAAGCAACTGCAGTGGTTTCGGTGAGAGGCCCTTGGACCATCTAGCATTTGAAGGTGATGGGCACTGAGTGTTCTGCATCATCCTGTGTGAGTCTTGGACAGGCTAGGAACTGTAGACGACATGGGACTGCATCATATACTAATAAAAACCCAGTACAACTTTTCAACTGACTCACGTCCCAGCCGCTGTAATTACGGGAGAATGTCATCCCGTGTGTGCTGTTGCTGCAGCAACCTCAGCCACACCATGCCCAGGGATGCAGGAGCAAGGTGTCAACAGGACGGGTCTCAGAGGGACAGGGAAATGCAAGGAAAGTTGTGCAACATTTCACTCGGAGGAAAGTGTGAAACCGAGGCCCAGAGTTCTGTGCTATTTCTTAGCATGAATAATTTGTGAGAAGGATTTCCAAAATCTGCGCGGGGTATTTCTTGACCTAGTGAGCTGAAGCTCTTTTATCAAAAGTGAAGGCGATTATTCTACACAGAAAGCTGGACATGACCCCCACTGAGAACACTGCAACTGAACCATTCAGCCCCTCACTACAATTCTGCAAAGGACCTAAAACAGCACTCAGGATAAGCTTCAGCATATGGATGATGTTAGTAAACAGTTCATTACCAATAATTAGACCAGTTGTTATGATCGTCATCAAATTACACAGAGATCTTGAAATTCAAAGTGTGGGAAAATACAAAGCAGAAAAATGTTGGAATGCATTTAAAGGAAACCTCTGTTATTCTGCACCCTCTAAGTTTCAGAATTACATTTTTCTGAGGGGCACCTGTTCTTTGCAGAGATTATTCAGATAGCTAAAATTAAAGTAATATGAAATCTAGATATTTTCCCAAGGCAAAGCGTTTTTCCATTTTATTCTTTATAATTGCCTGACTGCAAAGTTTACTTTCTAAAAACTAAGTCATCTTGATCAAGGCACATCATACCTGGAAATTAATCCCTGGAAATAAGTCTTCTAATTTTTTTACATGAATCACATTGGACCTGAATCACTCTAAGTCCAAAAGGGTGTGAATGTTTATTAAAACACTTAATTCTTTCTTTGGTTGTATTTCATTCCCAAGAACTAATAAGACATATTTAGAATACATAATATTTAAAATAATTAATGAGTCTTGCTTTCTTTCCCTGTCAAAGCATAAAGAGAGACAGTTATAATTTTATAGGTATCTCATTCTTTTAAATTACCCAGAATTTGTTCTTCCCAAATATCTCAAGTGTCTCATTTTGGTAACAGTAAAATTATTTCCAGCATTTCAGTGATTTCAGTGGTAAATGTTCTCAATAAATGGTAGGCTACATACTATATCTTTTTCTTTTCAAAATTATGTAATGCTTACATTATCTTTGAATATATACCGAATATATAATTTTAAAATCTTGGTCTCAGTCTGTACTTCAATATCAAGATGTCTTATTCAGCCCATCAGGAGTATAAAATGCATTATATATATAAACATATATATATACACATATATATAAAATTTTGTGCATGGAAGAAAAGAAATATAATATAAATGCATTTTAATTTTATCCTATAATTTGCTTATAATAATAAAAAATCAGATCTAGTAGTTAAAATTCACAGAAAATCATTCTGTCATTATGTACATTTGGCTTAAAGTATGTATGAGTTTTAATGAATTGAATGAAAAGGAGTGAATTGTACACACACCAAAAAAACCTATGATAGAAAATGATTCTGAAATGCCACACTTAAACAATTTCCCCAACAAGAAATATTTTAAAAAAGGAAATTTAGTTAATTGAAGTATCAAAAGGGACTATGATATCACTCAATAAGAATATTGTTGCTTCCTAAAATGGGAAGAGACTGTTAGGAACTCCTGTGAATGGGTGAGAAGCTAGATGCAAACTGATGCAGTGATCTCTGCCTGGAGACCTGAAATTGTCCCTCCTGGTGACATGACTTCTCTTGAGAGAATTACCGTATTTTGCTCTATGTAATGGGCACTTTTTCCCCCAAATTTTTGAGGGAAAAACAAGGATGTGCATTATACATGGGTTGTACCTGAAATATCTTGTATCTGTTTTTGTGTTTTTTAACTATTTGTTACATAATATTTCTTGTACCATAATATGTTCAAAAATAAATGTTAACATTCCTTTATAATACAAAGAACAAGTATCTAAATAAAAACAAACAAATAAACAAATAATTGAATTAAAAAATTGAAATGAAAGATTTCCTTCCTGAAAGTCTGGGCCCAAAATGTGGGTGCCCACTATACACAGCAATGCATTTGTACATGGCAAAATACTGCGCCATATTGTCTTTCATTCAAATGCAAACAAACATACATAACAACCACAGACCTTAACAAAAAATCAACTGGGATATGCTTTAGGGGGAAAAAAAATCACCTTTTTTTTTTTTAAAGATCTGGAGTATTTATCAGGGACAGCCAGGGAAAGAGTGAAGGTGGCAGCGGGGGAGGGGAGAGTAGGGTCCTTAAATATAGGTTGTTTTTGACATTCTGTGTGTGTGTGTGTGTGTGTGAGGGGGGGAGAGAGGGGGGGAGAGGGAGGGAGAGAGAGAATGTGATGAGATTGGTACTTTGGTAACAGTCACAGCAGAGTCAGTGCCATGCTGTCTCTAGTCTCATGGTGTGGAAGGAGGTGCTTCGTCACCTGCTCTGGTTACCATGGGCTGAACCAGAGTCGCCTCCCCCAGTCCTGGGTTTTGACGGGGGCTGGTTCTTCCCTACACTCGGCAAGAAGAGCTCGAATTACCCAAACATTGTTTTTTGTCAAATATCTTGATTGTCTCATTTTGGTAACAATAATATTATTTCTAGTGTTTCAGTGGCACATATTCTCAGTAAAGGACAGGTTATATGCTATATCCTTTTCTTGCTGAGTTCTTCTTGCTGAGTGCGTCTGAGCCAGCACTGCTGGAGGTAGGGGAACAGAAGGCTGAAAGTGCATTATTGAATTTTCTGTGTTTCCAAAGTGGAATGACACTAGGGTCAAGAAAAATCCCTCTGCCTTTGGCCATTCTTCCTCTACTTGTATATCACTTACTACTTCATTTTTCTACACTCATTCTTTCCGTAATAGAAAGCCAGAAACATGAAAGATGGTGCATGATTAACCAAAGAACATTTATGCATAACCCAGGGACACAGACAAAGGGAGGGAGGGTGAGGCTGGGTGGAGACAGGGAAGGGGAGAACAAGCAAAAAACGGAGAAAACTGTAATTGCATAAACAATAATATTGGGGAAAAAAAAAACTAAAGGAGAATAATTCTAAAAAACCTAACAGAAACCTCACTGGGACCCAGAAACTATTCAAGGACTCAAACGTGGAAAAGCCCCTTGCCATCTTACAAAATAAGCTCAACCAAGAGCAGCACCTGAAACTCTAATCTTGTAAACTAGCTCCAGATTTTGCTGAAACACTCTAGGCAGCCACCTTTCCTTGCTTCATTATTTATTACCAAACCAGAAGGAAAAGGAGATGCAGGTGATTAGAAGAAAGTTTATACTTCATGGAGCAATGAGTCCTAATCCTATGATACTAAGAGCATTAGAGGCCACAAAGTAGCTGCTGCCTCTGCATATCACGCATCACAAATTTTAGCATGACAAGTGGTTTTATGAACCAGCGCTTTGAAGAGGAGCCATGGGCTGAGGCTTACTTTCTCAATCCAATCTTGTGAACGCTTTTTGATCTTCTGTGCTTCATTCTCTCTTGCTATAAAACTATAAAGAAATCCTCCTCTGGAGTTTGTTTGTCAATAGGATTACGGAATTGATAAACATACAGAAACTTGGTATTTTGCTATTTTGAAATCCCGGTGTCTTTCTTTGCTTAGACTTAAAACTATGACGCATTTATCAATGGACACTTGATCCACCTCTGGAAGAATTCTAGGGAAACAAGTACATTCTCATTTTTAATGTGTGCATAAACATATTTCCACGTGCCTAAGCTATTTGACAATACCCCAAAATTAGCCACGGGGGAATCAGATGTACTCACTGCTCTCCACTCCCATGTTCACTGAAGTACAGCCGTGAAACAAACAAATGCACACCACCATGCACTTTATCTTTTAAACATATGTGTATATTTTGAATGTAAAACACAAATTAACTGTAGAAACTTTGAGAAAACAGAAAAACTTACAGAACCACCCAAAGACAACTGGTGGTAACATTTTCCTTCGGGATATATGCGAACACATGCATGTTATACATGATTTGTATGGAATGCATGATTTATTACACAATTAAAATCATGCTGTATATTCCATTTTATATCCTGCTTTTAACATTAAACATTGAATCATGAAATATTTTGCCTGCCTTTATATTTTTAAAAGCAGTTTTAATGATTCTAAAGATTTCAAGTAGCTCTCAATACAAATGTATTAAAATGTAAGTGCTAATTTTACTTTAAAACTTAAAAAATTAAATACTCGTATGAATTGCTTAGATTCACTGTTGTTCATTCATTCTGTCTAATAAAATACCACATGAGAAATTAGGTTCATTGAGTACTAAATGGATGAGGATGTTAAAAATTTTGTTATTACCATTTTTAATTAAAATCATGAAACTATGGTTTTAGACAATAAAAGTATTCTGGAAAATTTGTCTA